TCTTTCTTTCTCATTACTCACTTTTAATCCTAATGTGACACTGCACTATAGAAATCCAAGGTCTTTTTTACAATTCTTTCTCTTATTTTGTTCTTTATATCTTTTTTCTTTTTCTCATGTTAATTTTTATTTAATTTCAATGTTCTAAATTTTAATATTCATCTTATGTTTCAATTCTTATCTTTGTCAATGTGTATAAGGCTACATTCTATTATATATATCTTTTAATAAAAGTTTTACATGATTCATTCTTTCTCACCGTCAATTTAAACCTAAATTTCCCCTTTTTCTTGACTACTAAAAATTTTAATCCTCATTTGAGGATGTAATTTTTCTATAGAAATTTAAGATGATATTTTCGATTCTTTCTCTTATTTTGTTCTTTGTATTTTTTTTCTCTTTTTTTCATGTTAATTTTTATCTAATTTAAATGTTTTAAATTTTAATATTCATCTTATGTTGCAATTCTCATTAGAATTTAAAGGTGATATTCACAATTTGATGTATAGCATATGACATTCTTATTTAACTATTCATAAGGTTTTGTTTTTAACCCATATTTTTAGAGATTTTTGTAAAAAAAAACATTTTTGTTGTATTTTTCTTTGTTCTCCACTTTTTTTTTTTAGGTTTTGTTAAGCTATGTTTTTAAATAATTTGAATATTGTGATGTTTTATATTCTTTAGTGATTATTGAAAAATGATGATGAATTGACGATGTAATTTTCATTAGAAGTAGAAAGTGATATTCATAATTCTTTAACCTATTCTTTTATTCAATTGTATATTTTTATTTATAATTTTTTTTCTCTCTATCATGAATGTTCTAAATTTTGAATATTTTTCCTTATGTTGCAATTCTCACTAGAAATTGAAGGTAATATTTACAATCCTCTCTTATTTTGCTTTACATAAGTTTTCTTAAATCCATATTAATCATGATCAAATTAAGTATCTTTTTCACAAAGCAATCATTAATATATCACTCATAATTACATACAATTGAAAATTAATTTTTAATGATAAATAATTAAAACAATTTTTCATACAATTATTACGTTTCATTATGACATAACTATCTAAATTGATTATTGTTGTAACGACCTGTCATAGTTTCTACATTATGTGGAATCACCCTACCAGATAGTTTAACTAAGAGAGAGATTATTTACTAGATAACAATATAAACATGCATCTGAATAATAATAAAAAAGTCACGTTTATATGAATAAATATAAATACGATGTATATACTGTCATCCAAAAGGAATAATACTCTCCTAGTGCAAGTCAAGCACATCCTACCAGTTATCTGAAATGGTAACTTTGACATTAAGACAAAAACTTCAGCATCTAGTAGTAGCCTGCTCCATCCTAATCCTGACACATGCTCTCATACAAAGTATGATCATCGCAATTCATCCAAATGGAAATAGAAGGGTAAGATAGAGTTCTATAAATAACCATACAAGCATAAGAATAAGCATTTATGCTATGCCATCATCAATCATTTTCATAGAGTCAAAAAAATGCACTCTATCATACAACAATCATGCAATAAATGCAACTCATAAAAGATATCAATACATATCAATCATCTAATGCGTCGTCACGCGTTCACTTAGGAGGTCTCCCTAATAACAGAGCAGTATAAATGACATCTCATCCTACCGAAATCATCCTGACCGCTTTTACGCCCAAAGCGCTCTGCTAGGTCAACAACAAATCGGGATATCAAATCTCCCCAGGTGTTTACTCGAATAATGTCATTTATACAATTGGAAGTCCGGTTCCACCATCAGGTATAACACATCTGGGTACGGGCTTATCATGATCTTGGTATGCATTACCAAGTCACTTGTGGAGTTTGCCCGCTGACTGTCCACAAGAAACCATGCACCTTCCCCAATACTTAGTTAAGGGAATAACCTTCAACCTCATACCCCATTCCAACACTAGCTAAGGACTTAGAGGAGATTCATCCAACCCATTGGCCTATCCAAGCACCACTTTCATGCATATTAGTGACCTCTCTAAGCACCACTTTCAGGCATATCAGTGGCTTATCCAAGCACCACTCTCAAGAGACTCTATGTGAGCTCTTCTAGTTCGAAAATATTTTTCTCTCTCCTCAGTCCTAGGCTAGACACATGCTATAAAGAACCACATGCAAATAATGCATCATACATCATACATGGTCAATCCACCATCATGATATATCATCTACATAGTAATATACATTTATATCAAATCCTGTTTTAAAACACTCATACATACCTTTTTAAGCATACATATGAACCATACATCAATTTACTTCATATATCATACATGTATCACACATTCATATATACCTATCTAAGCATATACATGAACAAATCTTCAATATACATAATTAAATCATCCACATTCTAAGCATCAAATCCCAGCCACATCAACCTAGTGTGACTTATGCTCGGTGCAACCCTGCTCACGCTCGACCCAATAGAAAATAGAGACTCATAGAGGCTCTCACGCCCGACGTTCTCGTACGAAGTTAGAGACTTCCAAGGATCTCCACGCTCGACGCACTCATATATGCGCCCGACGTCAGCTTGAAAGAGACTAATCTCTCATAAATTCGCCCGGCGTGACCCACATCATGCCTAATGTCTCAAGGTCAAAGACCTACATGGATAATCATGCTCGACGCATCCAGCACGCACTCGGCATCATATCAATAAAACTAAATCTACAACCGCTATCTGATATTGCACCCGATGTGGTCCACCTCACGCTTGGCATGATTCATCCAAAGACTTCCATCTTGAACCACACTCGACACAACTAATTTCACGCTCGGCGTGCTTACAAAATGGTTGTCTCTGATAAATGCACGCCCGACGCCATGAAAACGCGCAAGCGCAAATTCATATAGTAGCAACCTTAACTCATAAGATTTCTCCCAAAAACTTTAAAATTAGGAAAATGCACCACATGCAATCCATACCCTACAATATATATACAACATACAATCCAAAAACACCATTGGAATCAACATCCATCCATTCAATTTACCAAAATTGCTAAAAACCCCGTCTTTAGCCCAAAACCCCGAAATTGTGAAAAACCCCTCAATTCAACGAATTAATCCACAAATCATGCATCTATTGAATTTCTAAACTCACATGCAACAAAATTATTGACATTCTAGCTTCCTTTACCTGAGAATTGGCTCACAACAGTCAAGAAGAGGAAAAAGGAAGAAGAGTTCCCGAAGCTCGACCTATGGACTTCAATCCTCCAAAAACAAGCTTTCTAGCCTGAATTCCAAGAAAAGATAGAAGAGATTAGTGATCTAAAGAAGAAGAAGAATGAAACAGAAAAAATTGAGAGATAAAGGAGCTTACGGACTCAGAGTCCTTCTCTCTAAAACTTCTTTCTATTTGAAAATGAGCTTATGAGGCTCCGTTCTCAGAGAAAGTCTTATATATTTTTCTCTCTAGTGTCGACTAAATTCTACAATTAACTTACCACGTTATAGTTGTTAATTAAATATTTATTATAAACTTTAATTTCAAAATAATTATTAAATTTTAAAATATCAATTACTAAGTACAAATTTTTAATACAACTAGTACGTTTAATTACAACTTAATTGTATAAATTATTTCTTTAAAAAAAAATTCTAAATCCTTTTTTGTCAATTAAATATTTATTACAAACATTAAATTAATTTAAATTAATTAATATTTCAAAATACATTTTTTCTTCCAACCACACAAATTTTTTCATATATAATATTTATGAATAAAAGCTTATAATCAATTTTTCATTATATAAATATACCTAAAAAAATTTCCTTACAAAGTGATTAATCTAATATTTTGATGTTTAAAATTAATTTAATTATTTAAAAATAATACTCACTAACATTAAATATCACGCAATGAAAATCTCCCACATTCAATTATTTTTAACAAATTTTTATTAACTTAATTTATTTAATATTTCCAACTCTAAATTCATTTTGTATTTTAATAAACATTGGAACAACAAATGATATTTAAATTTCAATCATATTTTACAAGTAAAAATGCACATTATAAAATTTTTAAAATAGTTCTAATAAATAATACTTATAAATCAATCAAATATTGAAATAATAATTTTTTTCTTATAACTACTTTTAGCAAAATCAATGACTAATATAATACTTTGAGATCACTTCCATTTAGTCAAAACTCCATATTAAAAGATTAATTATAGGTGTTAATAAAAGGTCGAGTGTAGAATTGTCCTAACAAGAAGAAAATATTAACATACAAAATTTATCTTTGGTGACCAAGTAATTTACACATAATTTTTAAAAGTTTATGATGCTTATATTAGTGATGGAAGAACAAGTTTAGTCACTAATTAAATTTTTTAAAATTGCATTCATTTATTATAAAATAAAACAATATCACTCTAACATGAAAATTTAATCGTTCTTATATATGTCATCTTTCAATTCATACATTATTAACTCATTTCACACGCTTATATGTAAAATAAACCTAATTATATAATATTCATTTTACCTACAAAATTTATACTTTTTTTTAATGAACATTTTATAATTATTTAATTTTATAATTTCATGTAATAAATTTTTTAAAATATTTTTAATATTTTAAAATTATAACTTATATATTTATGTGACTCCGAGCATCAAACCAATATCTAGTTACTTTATAATAATAATGTAAATAGAAATTTTCATTTCAAATAGACACTAAATTTTAGTCAAATCATTATAACAACAATAGCAATATTAGCATTAAATTAATATTTATTATATCATGTATTTCATGGTTGACTTGGAAATTTTTGAATGAAGAACTATAGCATACGTCAGGCACTCTTTGCTTATACGTACTGAATTGCCCACCATTTTCTTGTTTATGATATACATTTGGCTTAATCCATATATATCATCATTATTAACCAAATAAGGGAGTACCACAAAAGCTGTGTGACTAAATGGACCTTCTTTCTTTCATGGTTTTATTTGCATGCATACTTGTTTCCTCTCTCAAAATATCTGTAGCAAATGATTCTATTAAGGTGTCCCAATCTATGCATGATGGGAAAACCTTGGTGTCAAAAGGTGGAAAGTTCGAACTTGGCTTTTTCAGCCCAGGCAGCTCCCAAAAACGTTACTTGGGAATTTGGTACAAGAATATCCGAATTCAGACAGTTGTTTGGGTTGCAAATAGGGAAAACCCTATCAATGATTCCTCAGGCATCTTAACAGTGAACTCCACAGGCAATCTCGTTCTCACCCAAAATGAGTCTCTTGTTTGGTACACCAACTCTCACAAACAAGCACAAAATCCAGTGGTAGAGCTCTTGGACAGTGGCAATCTTGTGATAAGAAATGAAGGAGACACAGACACAGAAGGTTACTTGTGGCAAAGCTTTGACTATCCTTCTGATACACTCTTGCCGGAGATGAAGCTGGGAAGTGACCTCAGAACCGGTTTGGAACGGAAATATATTGCATGGAAGAGTCCAGATGATCCATCACCAGGAGATATTTTTAGGGTTTTGAAACTCTACAACTATCCTGAGATTTACATGATGAAGGGAACACAAAAGTTGTTCCGGTATGGACCTTGGAATGGACTATGCTTTAGTGGAATAGCAGATCTACGGAATAATAGCATTTATGGCTTCAATTTTGTGAGAAATAAGGATGAAGTTTACTACACCTTTAGCCTCGTAAGTGATCATGTCATCACCAGAACTGTAACAAACCAATCAGGTTCAATTTCTCGTTATGTTTGGGCGGTGGGTGAAGATCAAGATTGGAAAGTCTATAGATCCTACCCTAAAGAGTTTTGTGACACTTATAGCCTCTGTGGACCCTACGGTTACTGCGTAAGTACTCAATCACAATCCTGCCAATGTTTAAAAGGTTTCAGTCCAAAGTCACCAGAAAGATGGAACTCTTCTGATTGGAGTCAAGGATGTGTGCGCAATAAACCATTAAGGTGCAAAGACAAACTCACGGAGGGGTTTGTGAAATTTAAAGGCCTCAAAGTTCCAGATACTACAAGTACTTGGCTGGATGAGAGTATTGGTCTAGAGGAATGTAGAGTCAAGTGCTTGAATAATTGTTCTTGCATGGCCTTTACTAATTCAGATATTAGAGGTGGAGGTAGTGGTTGTGCCATGTGGTTTGGAGAACTCGTTGACATGAAAATGTATGTAATTGGTGGCCAAGATCTCTATATCAGGATGGATGCTTCTGAGTTAGGTAACCGCCATCAACTTTGATCTTATTAATTATTTCAATTGAAACTTTTAAAACTCAATTAACATCACTCTAACTTTAGCCTTTTTTTGTTTTGACTTTTTTTTATCAATTCCAACCCTCAGAACCTGTACATAGGCACAAGAAGAAGATGGGAACAATAGTTGCTGCCACTGTAGCAGCAATTTGTGGGGTTCTTATTCTTCTAAGTACTTATTTTGTTTGCGGAATTCGGAGAAACAATGCTGGTAAATTCTTTACGTTCTGGTTTACTGAACACATGCATATGCAAATATATCTTTTAATTTTTATAATAATCGAAATCAGTGTTTAGAAAGAAAAAAAAATAGTGTGATAAAATGAAATATTTTTATTTATTGTGGCTAAAAGATAATGTTAAAATATTAGGATTGGCTAAAAGATAACGTTAAAATATTAGGATTAAAAAAAGTATTTAATTAGAAGAATTTTCAATAAATAAATAAAAAGTCAACCTACTATTCCTTATATAACAGGATTTATTTAGATAATAGATTTGATTATGCTATTGTTTTCTTTATTAGGACTGATATTGTTTACTCTTGTATCTTTCGATATACTGGCCTCTTGAATCAAGAGGAAACAAATAAAGTCTTTAAGCATTATTTTCTGGGTCTCTTGTTCCTGCTTGCATTGTTAACGTGGCTGGCTCTTCAGTTATACAAAAGGTGGACCGGGTTTGGGGGCAGGTTTGAGTCTAGGTCTATGTCAAGGTCTAGGTCTAGAAGAGGTAAAAAAAAAAACATAAATCTAAATTAAACCTCATTTCTATCAAGTTTTATTAAGGTCTATGTTAAGGTCTAGGTAAAAAAAAAATTATAAATCTAAATTTAATCACTAGTAAAAAAAAATACTTTTAAGATCGATCATTTTTTATTTTTAAGTTTGGTTCTTTATCCGATTTTAAAAGAATTGATCTTAAAAGTTGAACTTTTTAAGATTGGTCGTCAACTGATCTTAAAAGTTAAACTTTTAAGATCGGTCACACCAATAACCAATCTTAAAAGTTAAACTTTTAAGATTGGTCACATCAATAGCCGATCTTAAAAATTGGACTTTTATTAAGATTGGTCTTGTTAATTGTTTCAAATTTTAAGATCGATTATGATAATAACCGATCTTAAAAATTAGATTTTTAAGATTGGCTATTACCATGACCGATCTTAAAAGTTGTGGATTTATTTTTAAATGATTAGCTTGTTTTGAGAAGGTTCATGAACAAAACTTACAAATTAATACCAGACAGTTGATATATTTGTAATGGTTTGCAATACAAATAAAATACAAGAGAACTTTTTTTGAAACATATCCAATACATCAATGTATACATAATAAGTACATAATAAGTATTTTATAAAGTATAAGTCCTAACTAGTTAGTGTTTCAATGAAAAATGTAGCTCATTACTTCCTAATGATATTTATGTCTTCTAGTGATAATGGTGATCGATCTATAAATATATGTTAAGAAAAATTTAGAACAATTAGAAATATTCATAAAATATTACAAGATGAAATTTTAAAATAAAAACTTTTAAAATTGTAAAACTTACTTCAGTCCACCCAGATACTATTTGTGAATTAACAATAGTATGCATTGCCTTCATTACATAGTATCTGCACTCATAATTTCTTATTTGTTTATGAGACTACAAAAATAATATAATAATTAATTTCAATAATGATGGTAATTCAAAACAAAATATCTTAGAAAAATATATTACTTGAATAAAATAACTTACTTTAACAAATATTATCATTCCCTTTATCCACACTCAACTTATGGATAAATCTACAAGGTTAAAAATAAAGTTAGATAAAAGCAACAAAATAAAATTAAAACTAATTCAAATACTTACAATATTCACAACTGTAAAATTGATATGTTCAACATACAGTGCTCATGTGTAATCTCTGATATGTCACTCTAACTTATATACAAGAGTACTTTATTAGGTACGCCAAACACTTTAGGAGCTCAAGGTCTATGTCAAGGTCTAGGTCTAGGTATAGAAGAGGTAAAAAAAAAAAAAAAAAAAATCTAAATTCAACCTTATTTCTATTAAGTTTTAAAGAACTAGAATTGTAGCATTTTCAGTGTAATTACTAAATGTTTACTATATATATATGATTAAGATAAATAAATATTATATTTAAATATATAAATTATATATTTAAAATTTATATAAATAAATATTTTTAAATATATATAAATTATATTTTAAATTTATCATAATTTTTTAAAAAAAAAATCAACATAATATAAATCACTTGTAGTGTTATAGGTTTAATCAATTAGTTTTTAACGTATTTGATACTGTGACTTGAACTAATCCATCATTAGTGTCAAGTACATGTTGAAAAATTATAAGTGTCAAACTTATAATTTTAGTGAGCTAGCACTATAAAAAAATTCTTGTAATGATACATTTTATAGTTAGTGATGGATTTAGAAAATTTTTAGTGGAGGAAAAAAAATTGTAATATTAAATATAAATATAATAAATATTTTTATAAAATACAGTTTCATGAAAAAAAATTAAATGCCTTATTTTCTATAAATTAAAATTGTTTAATAAATTCATCAATAATTTATATTTTTTTATTTAATATATTATATTAAAATATGTGTTTGTAATTTTGTGTGATTTGTTTAGTATTAGATTAACAATGAAATGGTAAAAATTAGAATAAAAATAATAAAATTAGCACTAATTTATTCTTATTTTTATCTATTATACTTTTGCAATACTCATTCAAGAAACTATTATTTTATAAAGATAATATTTATTTTTTGTTGGGGCAGATTTTATTATTAAATGCATTTAAGTAAAAAATAGAGAACTTAGTGGGGTACAACTGCCCCCATAGTTTACCACATGGATTCGTCCCTCTTTATAGTGGTAAAATATTTGTCACTAAAAATTATTTTCATCTACACTATAGGTGCAATATAAGTTAGTATATTGTTAAAAAAGTGTATGTATAAAATAATGACACACAATATATGTTGAATCCCAATCAAAATCAACTCTAAAATTTTATGTATATAAGTGTAAAATTAATAGATTTATACTTATATATATATATATATATATATATATTATATTTATAATATTTTTTATGTTATTATATATAACATTTCTTCTAATATAGAAAAACCTCAACCTGACTTGACATTGGTTGGTGTCGGCTCACCAATTTTTTTAAAAGTAAAAAATTAATTACAGGCTTCTATTTTTAATAAATAAAATAAAGTCTATCATTGATTCAAATGTAAATACAAAAGAAAATATCAATTAAAATTTCAAATTTCAACTATATAAAATATAAATATAATTTTACTTTTTTTATATAAAAAAATTAGTGGGTTAAACAAATCAACTCAAGTCATATAGGTACATTTTAGTCAATTGGAATTTATAGGTGAGTCAATTAGAATTTAGTCAAAATAGGTACATTTTTTTTCTTAATCTGGGCCAAGTCAAACCCATGATGAACTAGATTGATCCACTGTATTAGACTCACTTTGACATCTCTACAAAAAAAAAAACACAAATAAGAGTGCAATCACGTAGAAAACATACCATATAAAACCAAATCATGCAAGACATATTCAAAACAATTGAACTTCATATAGTAGTGTGACACCCTCTAACCCAACATACATATACAATAATTATAAAAATAAAATTCTTCATCATTAAAAACCAAATCTCCAATCACGTAAGGGTAAAGAGTTCACATTCATAAACTTAATTCAAATAACATGTCAATGAAATTACAAAAAAAAATAAAACTAAGTTTTCAAATAGTTTAATGGAAATAGCATCCTAAACTAAGCCTAGCTATGCCCCGATGCCACATATCCTATCAGAGCATGCCCAATTGAAACCTAAGCCTCATCACCAACATCGTCATGTTGATAATCACCTGAAACACAATTTAAACACATACAAAGAACAACAAGAGAGTGAGAAACATCTCACTCAGGTTCAGGTGCAGAAATAAAGGTTAGATAGCACACACACAATCATATCAAATACCACACAAGTTACACATAACCAAGCATAACTCTCAAGTTATAGATACATTAGAATACATATACATTCACTTATCATGCAATAATGTCGTGGACTCGACTCATAAATGCATGCATGTGGCACCATACGGAAGTTTCACATTTCTCATCACTAGTATGCTACTACAGCAACATACCTGGGGTACATTCATTCATGAATACATCACTAGTGACCAAAGGTACACCTAAAATAACTTGTTACATCACTGGTATGCGGCCTAAGCGGCATACCTGGAATAAATCATTTCATCACTGGTGACCCAAGGTACACCTTATTAGCTTGTTACATCACTAGTGACCCAAGGTACACCTTGTTAGCTTGTTACATCACTGGTGACCCAAGGTACACCTTGTTAGCTTGTTACATCACTAGTATGCGGCCTAAGCAGCACACCTGGAATAGATCATATATGCACATGATGCATGTCACACATTCACTATTTCATTCACTCAACATTTCACTTATTATGAAATTTCATGTCTTATCTCATTTCATCACATTTCACATTCTCGTAGTCATATCTTATCTCATTTCATCATGTTTCACATTCTCATAGTCATAACATTCACATTAGCACATTCTTATTCACATCATGTCTCATGTCATTTATTCACATTTCATATGGTCATTCCTCATAAAGTTTCGCACAAGAACCCACAGACCACTCTAATTCATATCAAAACTTATCTAATTTTGAAATCAAATACATATTTACACTTTACATCACATAAGGAATGCAATAGAACATTCAGAAAGCAAAACAAAAAATATTTATATTTTGTCTGTTTCTCATAGGATTCTCTTAGGAACCCACAGAGCACTCTAATTCATATCAAAACTTGTTTATTTTAAAAATTAATCACATATTCATACATCACATATATCCAACAAGGAACACAAGAGAATAATCAGAAGGCAAAATAGAAAACATTCATATTTTGCCTGTTCCTATAAGCATGCATCAGGCAAGGGATAGGGGGCCAATCCAGCTACCCAATAATTATTCCCACACCCCCGAGCGAGGTTTCTCACTCCCCCTTACCTAGATAAGAAGAAGACAAAGCTAGAGTAAAATTTGGTTGATCTCCTTCTCTTGATTCTCCTCGGTCTTCAGAGAGTATGTCCAGAAGCAGCTATTTATAGATTTTAGAAGTGACCAGAATGATCCGTTTCGAATCCAGAACGGCCTATTCTAGATCCTTTCATCATGTGTTAAATTCACATCTAGAACGACCTGTTCTTAAACTAGAACGGCCCGTTCTGGAATTGTGTTTTAACCCATAACGACCATGTTTGGAACGACCCGTTCTTAAACCAGAACGGCCCGTTCTAGGCTACTAAATGACCCTAATATAAATTAGAAAATTGGGGTGTTATAAGTAGCACAAGAAATGTCTCTAAAACATATCAACCATCATAATGAATCATAAATATATAAATACATATACAAGTAACAAAATACACAGGGAAGTGATCAAATAATGTAAGACTCTTTCATGATGCCTAACTCTTTTCTAATATAGAAAAAAAAAAAACTCTGTCTATGCAAAGGTTCTATAAATACATATGCAATTTGCCTATTACTTTCCTAAATCTCCAAAATAACTTTTTTTTACATGATCTCTAATGAAATGATGCCTAATCTTCATATGTTTAGTCCTAAAATACATAATAAGAATTATGCACTAGTGCTATCCAACCTAAGCTATTATGAAGATGGTCAAGCTTAATCACATGATCTAATGATTTTTATTCTGTCCAAAGAAATTGCGAGACACAACTTATTAGAGATCCCACATCAACTAGTGATATGGTCAAAATATAGTATATAAGTATAGAGCAGTCTTCACCTCAAAAATTTATTTTTTAGGATTGAGTTAAACTCAAACTCACATTCTAAGATGCTATCAGAGTATATATATCCTAGATAGTGTTTCTAGTCTTATTAGGTCACTTACTATCGATTTATTATTGGACCATCGTCAAAAGTTCAATGTTGCAAACTTACACTCAAGATGTTTAGTCCTCAACATGAAGAGTGTGTAAGAGATCCTAAGTTGACTAGTAATATGGTTAAAATATAGTATATAAATAAGGAACAGTCTTCACTTAAAATAGATTTATTTATAACAATTATCCCATTTTCATATAACTTATTTCTAAATACCCATGCATTATCAAGTACTTGTTTACAAGGTGTCATTAGAAAAAATTCCCGTACATAATTCACAATGGATTGATTAATTAAGTTTGCCCTGAATTACAATCAACTAGTATAAGTGTAGTATTATAAATAGTTTTATGTTCAATTTGAGAGACAAAGCATTTATTGGCAAACAACTCTTAGAGAAGATCTAGTAAATACTCATTTTGAGATTTTATGATGTTGTCTAAAGGATGATCATTTTTTGTCCTCTTGAACTTATAGTTTCTCCTCTAATCCTTTGTTGATCTATTCTCATTTCTATCAAATGAAACATCCATAAAATCATCATAAGAACCTTTACTAACTATTTAAGGGTGGGTTTTGTAGAAAAACATGTTTAGATTCTCCGATTGTCATGGTTCATTTATTGAATAATTTAAATGCCTTATAAGTGTTTGAATATCCAAAGAAAGATATTTCATCAAATTTAGCATCAAACCAATTATCTCAAGTTATCTTTAACATTGTTCAGGATAAAATACTTTTGCAATCAAGTACCTTTGGACCTATACTAAGTTAGAATAAGCTCAAAACTAGCTATTAACAAAACAATTAATGTTTCAAGGTTTTGTAGGAAACTTATATGTCTTTCAAACACAAGATCAAGTGTACCATTTTAGGAAGTCTGATAAGACAAATTATAATCTAAAAGAATCTGACCTTCAAGCTACTTATTGAGTATTGCATTACTTAGGTGAGATTTTTTTTTTTCACAAGGAATGACATTTTGGCCCTAGAAGTCTACTTGTATATTTTAATTGTTATAAATTGCTGGTGGAAAGATAAACACTTTGTTATTAGACATTTCTTAAAGTCAATTTAGTAACAAGAGAGAGAGAAAGAATTGAAAGAGACATAATTACAAGATCATCAACAAATATGAATTTAGAGAAATCACCCCCAAAAAAATATAGTTAAAAAAATATACAATACGATTTAAGAATTGATTGAAGGTCATAAATCCTTATTGTGACAAAAAAAAATTGTGCAACATGAGAAGATAGTAGGTACAAAAATTGATAAATATTTCATTTATTAAAGACAAATTCAAGTATGATTTGGTGTGCATACCGAATGTTTCATCACAACAATTGGTTTGTTCTGCCTAAGTGATTGATTAACTTAAATTCTAAAAATCTTATAGTTATGTTGAGAATAAAAAAATATATCTATTCCTTAATTTGAATGAGAATGTTAAACTAAAAATAAATAAATATTTATTGTAAATATAATTTTTAGGATATTCTACTTTCAATCCCTTAATTAATGGGATTTTTATTTTTATTTTATAAAATTGATTTTGTGTTCCTTTTATATTATAATTTTTTAGAGTATTTTTTCTTCAATTAAAAGAGAACAAATTAATATTTCTTTATTATTTTAGTTTCTTTATAAACCTTTTTAATTATAAATACTGCAAATTTAAAATTGTACTTTAACTATCATATGAAAAAAGGACTAGTAGCATTATAATATCTGGTTGTATTCACTATTTATATAATCTTGAGTTTAATAACTTGTTAATATTGAACAAAATGAATAACATAATTTACTTTTCATTATCTAATTTTAATATTTTTAATATTTTTAGTAATTTTAATTCTCTTCACACATTTAATAACATTATTGAAGACCTTCCTCTATTTTGTAGGAAACTCATTGTCGGAAGTTTACAATGAAAAACATATGGATGATCTAGACATCCAATTGTTTGATCTACTAACAATTGCAACAGCCACTAATGACTTCTCCACGAAAAATAAGATCGGAGAAGGTGGTTTCGGGCCTGTATACAAGGTAATAATTATTTGAGTACTACCATTAGGAGAATATATATATATATAAAGTGTCCCCTCATTGTTGACTGTGCAGGGAATATTAACAAATGGACAAGAAATTGCTGTAAAGACACTATCAAGGAGCTCGTGGCAAGGAGTAACAGAGTTCATAAATGAAGTAAAATTGATTGCAAAACTTCAACATCGGAGCCTTGTAAAACTTCTTGGTTGTTGCATTCAAGAACAAGAAAAAATGCTAATTTATGAGTACATGGCAAACGGTAGCCTAGACTCCTTCATTTTTGGTACGGAAAATGAACTAAGCATAGATTTTTCTCTTAATGACTTTAATGAAATAAGCATACTACTAATTTGATCAATATTTAATGTTGAATAACATTTTTTTTGAATAAATTAGATGATAGAAAAAGTAAATTGCTACAATGGCCTGAACGCTTCCATATAATTTGTGGAATTGCAAGAGGACTTATGTATCTTCATCAAGATTCCCGATTAAGAATTATTCATAGAGATCTCAAAGCAAGTAACATCCTTCTTGATGAAAATTTATGTCCAAAAATATCAGATTTTGGAATTGCCAGAACTTTTGGAGGAGACCAATTTGAAGGAAGCACAAGTAGAGTAGTTGGGACTAGGTTAGTGTCTCATTATCCAAAATAATTATTTGATCTTATTTACAAATTTGTTATTTGTTCTTGATGCATGTAATAATGTCTTGCAGTGGGTATATGGCACCAGAGTATGCGGTTGATGGGTTATTTTCGGTGAAATCTGATGTTTTTAGTTTTGGCATTTTAGTGTTGGAGATAGTATGTGGAAAGAGAAACAAAGGACTTTATCACACTGACATGAATCATAACCTCGTTGGTCATGTAAGAGCTTGAATCTATTTTCAATTTATGTATGTCTAATTGAAATATAACAAATAATTATCTTTTAATACTTATTATTTGGAGACAGGCATGGACATTATGGAAATCAGGCAAGATGTTAGATTTGATTGACTTGAACATGAAAGAGTCATTATGCGTTGTACAAGAAGTACTACGTTGCCTCCATGTTAGTCTTTTGTGTGTGCAGCAATACCCAGAAGATAGGCCAACAATGATGTCCGTGATTCTAATGTTGGAGAGTAACATGGAATTGGTTGATCCTAAAGAACATGGTTTCATTTCAAGAAATACTTTAGGTGAAATTGATTTACGATCAAATAGAAAAGACACGTGTTCAAGTACTGATGTGACAATGACCTTGTTAGAAGCACGATAAAACTCACAAAAACTAGTTCGGCTTGCATTAAATAAAGATATATAAGAATATTTTTAGGAACATGTATAAAATAATTGTAGAGATTAATTTATGACATTCCTTGCTACATGTTCTTTTTAACTTATTTTGATATGCTTTTCGGTTTAACGTATTGAATAAATACATTTTTTTTAACAAACATATACACACTACAAAAAAACTAATTAAATATGACGGTTTTAATATGGCAGTTTCAAAAAACTGCCACTATTTACTTTATAACAAGGTCAAACTTTTACACGTACGTATTGACCCTGCATTTATTATTTAAGAAAATACATTTTTGATCCTAAGTAGATTGTCCAAATATTCTAAAAATAACTTTTACACATACGTATTGATCCTGCATTTCTTGTTTGTTTTTCTTTTAATATAATGAGAGTTCAAACTTAAAATCTCTTGAAGACTATTCAATTAATATATATATATATA